ATTATCTTAAGATAACTATGAGCCTTACAGGCAAGAAAGGCTAGATATACTATATTTCCTTTAAGCCCCCTAACATAGATCCTTAAATAGCTAGAAAGCCTACACAGAGTAATGAAGCACAACTTCTTTTGGTGGGATTAAATAAAGTGAGATGTTACTGAGCTTTGATTCTATAGTAACATATTGATAAACCAAATGTTGCCAGATTTTAAATATCAATATGCTTGCTGTTTTAATATGTTGTTAATTTAGCTCTTCTGAAAGGTACTAGTTTGGCTTTTGTTGAAACTGAAGCCCTATATTTATTCATACTAGTTTCAGAGGGGCAGTGGCACAGCTAACTTCACAGTGCTCTGCCAGTGAGCTTCAACCTGAACTGAAGGGAAAACATTTAATAGTGATAAAGAAGTTTACTCTCCATGACTATTCAGTTCTTTCACTGGATGTTTTATTTTAGGAGTGATAGAACTTAGATATTCAGCAGAGGTCCAGAATAGGGATATTAAATATCGGTTAATTGAATAGTCGAGTAACCTCATGAATTTTTATCAGTTAGATGACTATTCTATATTCCCCAAGGGTGGGGCCAGCAGTCAGTGCGCTCCAGCCTCACCCCTGAGAAACCCCCTGTCACTCTGCACTGCTGCCTCTGTATCAGGGGCAATGGTGTGGGGTGCCAAGTGGGAGCTGGTCCGCAAGGGGAGCCCATTTAAAAACCAGCTCCCCTTGCAGACCGGCTGCCTGTTGTCCTTCTTCTCCTGCCTCTAATAAAGAGGCAGCAGCACAGGATGGCAGCAGCCCCTGTCTGGGGGCTGGGGTCTGAGCTCCCAGACCTGGCGCGAGCCGGAACTGAGCCAGGCTGCCTGGCTCCTAATACACTTTAAATGCAGAGCTGCAGTGGAGGTAGGTCCCAGACTGATTGCTGGCTAGCCTGCTAAAAATTTACTAGCAAAGAGGTGGAGAGGGGAAATGTGCATAGTCTGTAGCAGTATTTCTCAATCTTTTTTTTATAAAGTACTCCTTTTTCCAAATAAATAAATAAATAAATTGTAAGTACTCCCTTAAAAAAAAAAAAGATAAGTACCCCCAGTACCTACAGTTTTCACACTCACAATGTTTTTTTCTACCATTGCAACACATTTGTTTAAACAACTTAATTGTAGCAGAGCAGGCGATGAAATTTTTCGGTGTAAAAAGTACAAAAATAATAAAGCGCTGTAAAACTTAAAATAAAAATTCAGTTTTCTCCAAATTTCAGTTGTGTTGATGTACCCCCAGACACCTCTCGAGTACCCCTTACAGTACTCGTACCACTGGTTGAGAAACACTGGTCTATAGCATTAACCTATAAGCTTTTGCTAATAGGTTAATCAACTACACTGTTACATCGTTAGTCCAGGAGTGGGGGAAACTCTCTACAACTGGATGGGCCACCAGCACTTGGACTGTAGCCCAGTCCCTGTTTCAATCCTTTCCCCCAAGGCTCCACTCCTGTGCTTCCTCTTCTCCCTGACAGCCTATCCCTGCTTTCTTCTTTCTCCCCCATATCCATTGTCACTTGCCCTTGGGCCCATTAAAAAGTGGAAGGGCATAGCTCTCCCATTTTTTAATGACTCCACATTCTGGCATTATTGAAGTAGTCTCCAAAGTGTGGGTGCATGGTAGGGCCCAAGCCAAGCCAACCTCCAGCCCATCTCTGGCCCCAGTCCAGTTCTGCCCTCATTCCCTTTCTGTCCCCATGCCAACTCTGCCTCTAGCCTTACTTCTGCCTTTATCCACAAGCTCCTCTGCTAAGCTAACTGTGCAATAATGTGTTGGGGGGGGGGGGGGCAGAGGAGAGAACAGACTCATTCCATTACTGGTAAGGGGGCATGGCAGGAAAAGTTTGAGCACTGCAGATGTAGAGAATGATAGTCTCCAGGATCATTTTTTCTTCCTATTTTTGAAAATAGATATCATAACTGTTTTTCTTAGTCTTTTGTAACTTGCCCAGTTGTTCATGACTTTGCAAAAATAATTGTTGGTGATACAGTAACTTTTTCAGATAAATCCCTTAATACCAATTTTAGGCCCTATTCCTTAGAGCCCTGCAAATCTGCAGATAGCCACTTTATATCCACAGGTATCCACATCCAGTTCATTTTTGCAGCTATGGATGCGGATACAAAATTTTGTATCTGTGCAGGGCTCTATTGATCTTGCAGACACACATGTGCTTAACCTTTTGCATGAGTAGTCTCATCAGTAGAATGGCTCACATGAAAGCACTGGACTCTTGAACTCTGTATGGATGAATCCACGCATCTGAATGGAATACCACTGAAATTAATACAGCATTGGAACTTGTAATGTAAACTCTTTGTCCAGCATTTACTTATTTGATTTTTTGCCACTGAATCTGTTTCCTCCAAGCCTGGCTTGAAGTTCAACTGTTTCTCTAATTTCTCATTTCTGATATGCAGCCTGTAGAGCCTCAGAACATAAATCAACTTTTATTAAGCACCACAATATCTCTGTGAAGAGTACTGTTTTATTATACCTATTTTACCGATGGGTAAAAAAAGGCATAGGAAGATTATGTGAATAGCCCAAAATCATAAGAAAGGGGCAGAGTAGGAATAGAATTTGAGAGTTAATCCTTCACTCTGCCCCTGTATAAAATATTGAAATGTGTTTTGTATTTTTGCATTTATTTTAAGTATATTGTGTTTTTGTTATATGTATGTATGTATGTATTTATTTATTTAGCAGATTAATAGCCTGTTTTTTCCATTTTTGGATATGTTTCAGAATATTTCATCCATTTGTGTGCATTACTCCAGAACAGCATACCTCCAGCAGTAAGCCTGGTACTGCTCCACAGTTTTAAATTGATTAGGAAAGATGTGAAAATGATGATGAGAGGCTGAAAAATAAGGAGCAGTGTGCTATGTTTCAAGATTTTTTTTTTAGTCTAATTCAATGACTATATAAAGATGCTTTTCCCCCTTGTCTTGCTGGTGGAGAACAGTTTTAAACAGTGGTATGCAAAATGTGGTTCATAGGCTCCAATACAGGTGATGGACAGAGATAACAAGTAACCTTTAGAATAGTGATAATGTTCCAGATTATTTTTCATATACTTATGAGATATCATTTTTGTGTCTTCTCTTTCTCTATGGTAGCAGTATCATAGAGTGAAGCGTAATGGAGAGCACTGCCTTCTTGGCTGCTTTCATGATTTCCACAACTCCTTCTATCTCTGTGGTCCTGTTACCATAGAGATAGTAATATTGGAAAGATTAACCCTCTCCCAGCTAATTACACGATCTGTTTTGGAAGTGCAAGCTGGCACAGAGGATTGTGAGTCTCCTATTTTAAGAGTTAAGGCTGAAACCCTGTGACAAGAAATTTCTTTAGTATTAATGATATTAATGATATCACTGAATTAAATTATCTTTTACCAGAGGTAACTGCTGTGTTACAGTATATTCATTATATTAAAAAGAAGTTTTTATTTTTATATTTAAACCAAACAGAGACCAGGCAGTGATCCAACCTTTATACTCAAAGCATAAAGAAATAATCAGAAACAAATTTGTTTTTTTATGTGGATTTCACAGTTTGTTTCTTTTTTCTTTGTCAGTCCTTTTTCCTCTGGTTTTCATGAGACCAGATTCAGTAAAACTCTTAAATATGTGTACAACTTTAAGCACATACATAATCACATACTGCTTCAGCAAAGCTTTTAAGACTGTGCTCAAGTCACATGTTGATTTCAGTGGGACTTAAGCATAGGTGTAGAATTACTTATATGCTTAAAGTTAAGCACGTGTTTAAGGGCGAGATTTTCAAAAGCTCTGAGATTTGACCTTTCTCACTTCAGTGGGAGCAGTTAGGTCAGCACTGAGTGCTTTTGAAAATCCCACCCCAAATACTTTGCTGAATTAGGGCCTTTGTTTCTTCTTTTGTTCCATCTCTTTTTCTCTCTTTCACTCACTTTCACTTCCCTGACACTTCTCACACAACCTGTTTCCCACTAACTTTTCCTCTTTCACTCAACTTCATATTAACCTTTCCTTAAGGACTATCCCTTGCCTTTCTTCCCTTACGGGAGTTGTGTGGCTATCACTATACTTTCTTCAGTTGGTGCCCTTTTCACTGATTGTCTAAAATCTAATTGCCATAGAACCTTTTGATTTGTATTCTGTCTCTTCTGCTAAAGAAACACAAGCCATCACGTGATCCCTCTCCTGTCATCCATTTCCAGCCTCTGACAAACAGAGGCTAGAGATACCTTTCCCACCCATCCTGGCTAATAGACATTGATGGACCTAACCTCCATGAATTTATCTAATTCTTTTTATCTAGAATTAGGAGTCACCAAATGAAATTAATAGGTAGCAGGTTTAAAACGAACAAAAGGAAGTTTTTCTTCACACAGCGCACAGTCAACCTATGGAACTCCTTGCCAGAGGAGGTTGTGAAGACCAGGTCTTTAAGAGGGTTCATGAAAGAATTACATACATTCATATTAAGTCCATCAATGGCTATTAGCCAGGAGGAGTAGGAATGGTGTTCATAGCCTGTTTTTCAGAGGTTGGAAATGGATGACAAGAGAGGGACCATTTGATGATTACCCATTCTGTTCACTCCCTTTGGGGCATCTGGCATTGGCACTGTTAAAAGACAGGATACTGGGCAAGATGGACCTTTGGTCTGACCCTGTATGGATGTTCTTATGTTCTAAGCCTGGTAAAGTCCTGGTCTTCACAATATCCTCTGGCAACGAGTTCCACAAAGAATTCCAAAAAAGTTTTGCTACAGCAGAATAGTGTGGAATAGTGAGGAAAAGAATATCAATGCAACGAAGCAGGATATAAAAGTTATTTCACATAAATGCTATTTCTAGGTAGACAGAAAAATTTCTGGAGGTTGTTTAATACCATTGTCTTCTTAAAAAATCAATACACATTGAAAATATTTCATTGAATGAATGTGTATCACTGAACTTTTTTTAGGTCTGGGGAGAGGCCGAGTGGGAATGGAAAAAAAGCTAAAAGTTACAGAGAATGGGGTGAAGTGCTGTGCATCATAAAGGCCTGTTAACTGCAGTCTTGGGTGAGTATCAAAAAAAGGTAATCTGCAATGCACTCTTATTATATTGCACCTTCGTGAAGGGATATATAATTAGGACCCTGTATACTCTTTTGCACTGAAGATCAAATTCTGAAAAACAATCCGCAAAGGCTTTGGATTAATGTATTCTATCAGTATGTAATATCTTTCATTCTAATCCCCTAATCATGCCACAAAAACACACATCTGTGTCTCATCATTGAAAACACTAATTGACACAAAATTGATTGATTTTTTTTTAACAATTATTTTTGAGAATGGTTTTTTTTTTTGTTATAGTTTCCAGATGGCCCAGCTCCAATCCTAGCCATTGGCTCTCATGGTATTTTCTTAGAAGCATGACTTCAAACCACCTTCTTTCTGTCTGTCAGAGAAGAAGGGCTTGTAGCTGGCTTCAGTGTTTCATCTTCCTGGTTCCCTAGGCCTTGATTGCTGTTCTGGTCTCTATGCTGTCAAGCTCACCAAGCTATACTTTTGGCTCTATCCACTCACTGAACAGCAAATTGGACTTCAGCTCTTTGACATACTCTGCTGTCTAGCTCCATGAAACAGTGTAGGAAGCATGCCCTATAATTCACTTAATCA